AGTGGCCATTTTACTAGTTAGCTGTAAATTAGGTAATAGTATAAATAGCAATGTTAAAACACAGTCTGTTAAAAAAGCAGGAGACAACATCATTTCTAATATTCCTGAATAAAGCAACAGTGTTGAAGACTGAATTCTGCTTCCCGGCCACTAGTGCGAATGGAATCACTAGCTAATTCATTTTCAAAAGTGCTGGCTTAGAAAATCCAAATTAATGTATTAATGTATGTCACTTAAATGCAGAATTAAGTAATAGTTGCTATGATTCCTAGCTGTATATAAAAGAAATAACTTTTTGCATCAAGGAAGAAATCAAAGTCATTAACAACCACTTAACTACTTTTAAACACAAGATGCTTTGGCTATGAAATTTGTTTCAAGCACCCTTTAAAGGCAATCAAACTGGAATAAAGCAGTAGTAAATATGGCCCTGAGGCTGGAATATCAAAATATGGCACTGTAGGTAACCCTAATAAAAATCAGTGTATGGAGTATTTTTAGATTGTGGTACTTAAGTCACTTGGTGGGTCATTATTTTCTTAGTTGTAGTCACGTCCAGAGACAACAAAGCCCAGAAAAGCTCATCTTCATTCAAAATGCAAGGCTAGTTTTACACAGTTAAAAGTCAGTAGCATGCTTGTTAGTGGAACTAAAGTTTGTGATTCCACTCAAATTCTCAACCCAATAAAAGGCATACAGCTAACAAGAATCTGAGGTTCAACACAGACATGAGGAAAACAAAATAGTTTATGAATTCAGTAACCCACAAAGCATACTCAAAAAGAAATTATTTGGGGGGTTGTGTCCAAATCCAAAGGAATGTATTCTTGTATTGCCAAACCTATAAGATTTGCTGCTATTCCATACTGGTTTATCATGGATGCCAGACACTAATCTTAAATGGAAAGAGCAAGGACCACATTTAGAAAATGCAAGTAATGGAATATTTGTTTTAACCACTGCCCATAAATAATACACATTTCCAGTTTCTCATGGATATATAATCCACTAATTAAAAAAAAAAAAACCCAATGAACACTGCTCTCCTAATACCATTTGTTCAAAAGTGCTCATTGGAAAGGCTCTGTAACAAAATTCTGCTTGGAGCACTTTGTCTTAAACCACTGACTGGTTTATATTAGCAACAATATGAGAATTCTTTAGACTATTTCATATAACTTCTTATCAGTTACTACTATTTTAGACTGTGATCCTATAATTTGTTCTGCATGGGCAGACCCATCAGTTCTCACCAAGCCTCACTGAAGTCAATGGGGCTTTGCATGGAATCAGGGGTTCTATGTGGTTAAAGAAGTTTCTGGGGCTTTAGTGTCTTTTCAATTTTCAGTCATACTAAATAGTCAGATTTGCTCTATAATATAAAAATATAAATTGTAAAAACAAAGGCATTGTTTAAGTATCTTCCATCTTATTGCATCATCCATGTATCTTTTATAGAAACTATTAGAAGAAAAGAATTCTTGTTAATATATTATAATACAATCAAGAAAATTTCATTTTGTGTTTTACCCTGCTCCTTAGTCCATATACCCTTCTCTCACAGAAGAATTGCTGGTTTCAGCAATTGTATCAGAGATGCTCAATAAAAAAAACAATTTGCTTTCCTAAATAAGCTTGGACACACATTGCCTTATCATCACCACAACTTTTCTCATCATATATTTTCATACCCTGCCTGTTCATAAGAATGAAGAAGACTGGTCTGTGGAAGGCTGACATAAAATAAGGTGCATGCTCATGAATGAAAATAGAGCTGGTATATCTAATTTTAGGTCTACCAGCCTTTAACCCGATCCCTTTATGTAGGTCTCTGCATTGTGGTTACATTCATAAGATTTGTGAGAAGTTTCAAGGTTTGGGGGGGGGGGGGGATGTATTCTCAGAAGATTTCATACTTTTGCACTGTCAAAACACTTTTAATTTTATGCCAAAAGATGCTCCTGATAGTACTTTTTGCCTCAAAGTCCATCAAAGCACCCTAGAAACAGAAGTAAATTGGAATAATGGGAATTCAATCCAAATTTATTCCAGCTAATAAATGTGAAATAATCACAGATTTGCCATGACAAAAAAACAGTAGCTCATAATTTTAGTTGAGTCTCTCCACCCTCAAAAGTCATGTCATACATTTTGTCAAACGTGTTAAGTGCTTTAATTTAAAAATTTATTAAAAGTATAATAAACCATTCTAATAAGAAAAAAACATAATACACTTAGATTATTGATACAATTCTCATAAAAAGTTAACAGGTCTTGTTTTCCTAAGGAATGTTACACATTCCCACATTACATGGTGTTATAGAATTATTGTAATTTCTAAATGCATTTTATTAAATGCAGAAGCATTATTTGTTGGTAAGACAGATAGAGATAGTGCAGCATCCATTTTTACTAGATTAGTGTTTAGAAGGCTATCTTCACAACCATAAGGACAATAATCATATGGCCTGATTTTCAATTCCTATTGACTCTAATAGGATTTGTGAATGTTCAACTCCTCTAAAAGTTAGGCCCCTTTTAAAATTAAAGTTAAAATGTCTCTGCAGGAGTAGCTATGATTTTTTAAATTTAAACTGCAAAAAACTTGGAATCTGTTAACAACCACAATAGAGTGACAAATGACCAGCCTGAGTTATGACTATGTAATCACAGCAAATTGAAAAGAGAGAACTTATATCAGCTAGATTCTGCCTGGCTTTTAGGTGGGTACAAAACACACTTAAGGGATGGGCCGAACTGCAGTTTCTATTCTTTCCGGTTACTCTCCTGGGGGTACACTGCACCCCAAAGGTGGCAGGAAGAGGTAGAACTATGGCTGGAGCTATGGCTAGTCAGTTGTCAGCAGAGATGGCTCACCATGCAAAGGAAGTATGCTTCACCCCTTAAAGTAGTGCAGCAGTTTGTGTGCTCCTGTGGACAGTGGGGGACTCTGGGAGACAGTTGCATGTGCAGCACAAGGGAGGTGTGGCTTTCTCCTGCCCTCAAAGGAAGGCTGTAGCTAAATGTCACAATCCTAAAAATAAAAGGCCTGATCCTTACCTCATTTACACAAGTGCAAATTAATATCTCACAAGATGTCAATGAAATTACACTAGTATAAACGTGATGTTAACAAGAGGAGACTCAGCCATGAGGTTCCCAAATTAGAAGATTTGAACATACCTAACAAACACAAGCTATCTCACTCGCTCTCCTTCTCTCATGCCATTCCGGGGACTAGATGGTAACAGCAACTAAAATACTTCTGCCACCTGAAAATAAGTTTTTCAGTGCAACTATTCCTGGATCAACAAACCAAAAAATAATGTATCTGCTGATTATTTGTATGAGTTCTCAGTCTTATCAATTTAGTACCCAAAAAAGATACAAAAGTTTGCAGTATTCAAATAAATTATCTAAAAATGATTTTCTGGAGTTGGATCAAGTTTTCTCTCATCAGCATTCAGCACCAGTGCCACAGCAAGCAGAATAACAAGAGAGGAAATACAAAACATGAGGAGCGGATGAACTAAAGGGAGAGCAGTGATGAAGAAAATATGTTCCTTCTTAATTTAGATAGCAAGGACAAAGTCATGGACTGCAGTTCCTTATTTTTATTTATGAGAGCATCCTTCCAGTGATCAGTATCTGTACTGCATCGAAGTATGGAAGTCGCTTTAGAACATTTCACATTAGTCTGTAGGAAACCACTGATGGATTCATTTGTACAATTAACAGAACTAGAACACACCATGTGTGCACAGACATATGTCACAATCTTTTATTGCATACACTATGGTAGCTCTGATAAATTATTTGGATTCTCTTTTTGTTCACCTTACAACAGACTCAGGAGCAAAACCCTAAGCCCAGCACTCAGTAAATATTCCACAAAACCTTTGTGTGTATTATTATTATTTTTACAAAAGCTGTTTGTTTCTCCCTTACAGTTTATTTATTGGTGATGGTGGTGGTGCAGGAAGCGGAAGAGGAGCAAAGGGAAGGTTTTCAGTGCCACCGCTGATAAGTTTGACCGTTACATTTATTTTCTTTGGCAGTCAACACTGACATTTTGGTCTAAGCTTCTACAATAAGATAATCTTAGATTGTTATTTTTCATTTCCTCTCCCCTTTCTTTTCCTCCTTTCAGCTAGGAAAGAGAAAGTGCCCCCCACTCCCCCCAAAAAAGCTTTTAAAATACTCCCCATTTTTATTTCTATGACATCCTCCTATTGCTATCAAAAGATAATGGGCAACTAACTAGTGTCACCACTACAGCTTCTTCTTACCTAAGATAATATTCTATGTTCTATGACATGAGCTCTGGTGGCAGCCATGTCAGTTTCCCTGATTATGATATACTATACAGTAGGTACATCACTAGGATAGAATTTTTAAAAGTGCCTAAATCTCATTGATTTTCAATGGGACTTAGATGTCTACATCACTTGAGCTCTTTTGAAAATTGTACCCAAAGTCTATGGCATCAGATAACAAGCAAGCTAGTCAAAACTTGTTAAAACATATTCATAATTTTAGAGAAAGTTTAAAGGGTGACATTTTCAAAGGTGCACCCATATTTTCAGATTGGACATTTCAGACATTATAATATACCATGCAAGCAACCAGGATTTTAAGGGTAAACTTATTTTAAAGTTTATACAGCAATCTTTGTTTCCTTAACCAAAACATCTGAACTGTTGTATAGCTGATCCCCAACTCGATTTAACTATTAAATGCAATTTTACAAAATTCATTCTAGTCAATTAAAAAAAGTTCTTGCAACAGCTACAGTTCTAGGGCCATATTCTGTGCCCTCAGTTACATACATGCAACGCTCATGAAGATCAGTTGGGACAAGAGGTTTGCAGACATATAACTAGGGGAAGAATTTGGTACCCGTGGTCTATCTCTGTTATGAAGTCCATCCTAGAATTTATTTATCTTCCCCAACACTCACATGGAAGGCACAATAAATTAACAACATAAAAATGTCATACCGAGGTACTGAACACCAAGTCTTTTGCATGATTCCAGGCAGGCTTGTTTTGTGTTTTCATAGCCATAGTCGCTATGCCAGAGTTTGGTAGTTATCCAGAGGTCCTCTCGCTTCACATCACTTTCTTTGATAGCTTTCTGAAGGAGTGATTCACAGCCGTATCTTTTTGCTGTATCAATATGACGAATGCCACATTTTTGTAGTGCATACACCACAGCATCATGGGAATATCCACCTTGATGGGATGTACCTAAGCAAAAGTTAATAGGCGTGAATTGTTATTACTTAGTGATAAACAGAATTTTGCCAGATTTTTCAGCTTGCAATTTTTCCTGTTGTGACAATTAACACAGTGAGTCCCCAAATAATTATACAAAAGAAATGGGAATTGAATAAGAGCCTATACTAAAAAAATACAGACCCTAGGAGAACACAGGGTCTAATTCTGATCTCATCTACATTGGTGTAAATCAGAAGCAACTACACTAAAATCATTGGCATTTCAGCAGTATACAACTGTAAAAAAGTGAGATCAGAATCAGGCCTATAGGATTTCATGACCTATGAGCATACACTACTATAATTAGTTACTTCTGAAACCAGTATCTTTAGAGAAGGACAGAGACAAGTTATATACAGTATGGCAAATAAATATAAACCACATTCATTCTCCATGTTGGGTGTAATATATATATTTATATGGTGAAAATATTAATTAAATATTAAAGTAAAAAATGAAAGTATCAGTATGTCACTTCTTAAAAAGAATGAGTTAGATTCAGCAATTTGCTGTGTAAGAGACAAATCCTGAGGTCTTTACTCCATCAAATTCCATGGAGCCCCAGGTCAATATTACACTACAATACTACATAAAGGGCCATATTAATCTCCAGCGTAAACAGTGTAATTCCCATATAAATTTCCCAGCCAAATTCATTGAACCGAAACAGTAGTGTAAGTTACAGATGGGATAGCACAGTGGTTCTCAATTGGTAGTCTGTGGCACCCTGGGGGTCCGCGAGGCCTTTCAGGGGGGCCGTGGAGCTCCGCAGCTGAAACCCGGTGCCCTGAGCCCCAGTGCTGAAGCCAGGAGCTGCATGGGGCTGAAGCTGGCGGCCCCCCTGCCCCAGCCAGGAGCGGCATGGGGCTGAAGCCAGTGCCTCTCCCCCCCCCCAGCCCCTAGAACCAGGAGCGACATGGGGCTGAAATCCGCAAACCTCCCCCCGCCCAAGCCAGGAGCAGCAGGGGGCTGAAGCTGGAAGCCCCAGTGCTACCGACCCCCCCACCCCCGCTGAAGCTGGGAGCTGCACTGGGAGCCCCCCCTCACCCATATAGAGCCCCTATCTACCCCCTGCCTGCACGCTGAGCTACCCCCCTGCCTGCACACACCCCTACTTACCCCCCGCCTGCACACATCCCTATCTACCCTCTCCCTGCACCCTGAACAGTTTTCAAACTTTTTGAACTGAATACCCCTTGGAGTTATATATTTTGGTTGCATTCCGCCACAGCCCAGACAACTGGGTGGCCTCTTGAGGGAGTCAGGGGGTGGAGGTGGTGCTTCCTCCCTGGACTGTGCTGTGTGGAGCTGGCTCAAGTCCTGCCAGCCTTCCCCGCCGCACCCAAATAGAAGTAAAACTATTCCTACGCCTTAGGGTCCACCCGGAGCCTGTTCCCTGCACTCCCCCAGCCCCCATTCCCCTGCCAGGCCCTGGCGTTTTTACAGTATGCTGAGTGGGGCCTCAGCAACAAAAAGGTTGAGAGCCCCAGGGATAGAAAATGGACATAAATGGGGTTTAAATGATAAGACAGTGTAATCTGCACTGCCTAGGCATTCATTGGATGTACTAAATAAATGTATTTTACATGTCAAGCGGATGGAAGGATGAGAATACTTAACAGGAAAAGCCATTAGCAGAAGGTCTATTAGATAAAGAGTGTTTGTGAGTGTGAAGAAGGAGCTGTTTTATCTTCTATCTTCCTATTAGTTGTTTTTCCTGCTAAGAGCCACCCACCCCTTCACAGTCTTTTCCCAACAGCAATATTTTCCACAATCTCTGTTTGGGGAACTCATAAAAATGAGTTTCTAAGACTATGACTGCTATCAAAGGCCCTAGTCCTGTAACTGACAGTGGGCAGGCAGATTGCTGCATCCGCATTAAGGCTCCTCATTGGGGCTCTCCATGGGCACAGCAGTCTGCCTGCACAATACAAATTGCAGTATCAGGCCCTACATGATAACCAAGTCATTGTTGAACCTAAAAGGGATAAAGGACTCCAGGTTGCAGAAGAATATTATTCAAGTGACGTATCCCCTGCTGGTTTTCTCCACCCTCCAAACCTGTTTCATTTTACGCTGAACACAAAGATCCACACCTTTACCAGATAAGTATACTGTATATATCAGGGTGGGCAAACTACCGCCCACCAGCCATTTTAAGCCAGCCCTCAAGCTCCTGCTGGGGAGCAGGGTCTGGGGCTTGCCCCCCTTCGGCGCTCCAACTGGGTAGCAGGGTTGGGGGCCGCTCCACGCATCTCCCAGAAGCAGCAGCATGGCCCCCCTCCAGTGCTCCAATGGGAGCTGCAGGGGCAGTGCCTGCCGATGGGCAGCGTGCAGAGCCGCCTGGCTGTGCCTCCACGTAGGAGCTGGAGAAGGGACATGCCGCTGCTTCTGGGTGCTGCTTGAGGTAAGCGCCGCCTGGAGCCTGAACCCCTGCCCCTACCCCCTGCCCAGCCCTGATCCCCATCCTGGCCTCCGAACCCCTTGATCCCAGCCTGGAGCACCCTCCTGCACCCCAAACCCCTCCTCCCCAGCCCCACCCCAGAGCCCGCACCCCCAGCCGGAGCCCTCACACCCCCCGCACTCCACCCCTCCTGCCCCGAGCCCCCTCCCACACCCTGAACGCCTCATTTTTGGCCCCATCCCCAACCAGAGCCCTCACCCCCTCCTACACCTCAACTCCAATTTTCTGAGCATTCATGGCCCGCCATACAATTTCCATACTCAGATGTGGCCTTCAGGCCAAAAAGTTTGCTCACCCCTGGTGTATAGTCACTAGGGTTATCACAAGGGAGAATTACGGGAAATATATAAAATAATAGTGTTTTTTCTACTCTCACCCTAGTATCCACTATTCCTGGATAGGGGGAAAAGTGGGAGTCACTGCCCACCCTGGTCCATGAGACTCTGCCTCTTGGAACTTTCTAAACCCCATGGCCTATGGGCTGCTTGCAGCTCAATCAGCACACAGATGTGGCCCATGCGACATCCTCAGGGTCATACAGTTAGTATATATATTGCGTGGATGTGGCCCACATAACACACAGAGAACAGCATATGTGGCCCACGATGGTAAATACGTTGGGAATCACTGTTTTAAACAATCGGTGTTGGAGTGAGAAGAGTTTAGGGAATTCCTATGTTGCATGAATAAAGCAAGCTAGATTCTCCTAAAATTCTTGTAACAGTATGTCCAATCACTATCTCAGAATGAAGGTCATGATACTGTAGCTGCCTAATCTCTCCCATTACACCATGCCAATTTTAAACAAAACAGATTTAACCTGATAGGTGCACTAACTTTAAGTTGATGTAACATCACTGACTTCAGTGGAGGGACTCCTGATTTTAAACAGTGCAAGTAAAATCAGAATCAGGCCTAATGAATGGATAATACTGTACTGTTGCACAGCAAATCTTTTACTTCTTCAAATATGAAATAAAGTTTAATATTTTAAAAGTGAAAAAACACGGGGCGGGTGTTAAACACTGGCAGTAAATATGAATAATATGAGAGTTTGTTCACAGAAGATCCAGAAATGAGTATGCGTATATTTGTTTCACATTAAAATTCACAAAGCTAAAACAAATTATGTTCATATACTAGATGTTGCAAAAGCTTCATATTAACTGTTTAGACATTTTAAATGAATATATATTACCACACTTTAACCATTTAAAAAGAATATCCTTATATAATTACACCATGAGATGTTAAAGGAATGTAGAATTATATAACTACCACAGAAAAGTTACTACACTTTTACATAATGATCTTTTCACTTTTAATAAGCTACTCTTGACACCAAATAAATTAGGTTGTAACTATTGTGTCTGTTTGTGGTTGAATAGACATTTCCAAGTACAGAATGAATGAAGTTCATTCAGAGGTCTTGCACATGGGCTCAGACCCTTTTCATGCATAATGCATTCAAGTAAGAATATTTAGGACACAAACTTTTACTTTTTTAACCCTTTTATTATGGGGAATTGTGGAGATTTCAGTTTGTTATTGTTTCTCTTCTAATGATCGAGTGTGTAATATGTTCAGAGGAAATTAACAGACAACGGGGAGGAATTCTCTGAATACAGTATCTGTAAATTAAAATTAGCCATATCGTATAGCTACAGAAAATGTAAAAAGTCCCTCAGCAATTAGAGAGAGTAGTAAATACTATGAACAACTGAAATCATGAAAACCAGGAATTAAAGAACTAACAATGCTACTCAGACTAGGGATTCTAGGAATTGCAGGCTTCTCACATTGTTCATACTGTTGCAGTACCACATGTGCTGTAATTCAGAAGGGCACAAAGACGAGTTAAGGATAGAGGTATAACCTTAACTCTGAACTTATTTATTTTTCTTTATTTTTGGTTGGTTGGGTTTTTTAAATGTTTATCGTTAAGTCAGACTTTTACCATTATTTGAATGTACTATCTGGGTCTGTTGTTGTTTAACATCTTTATTTACTACCTGGATGTAGGAATAGAGAGCATACTGATCAAGTTTGAAGATGACACAAAGCTAGCGGGGGTTACCAATACTTTGGAGGATAGAGGTAAAATTCAGAGGGATCTTGATAAATTTGAGAACTGGGCTAAACAATTAAATGAAATTCAAAGGTAAGATACTACACTTAGGGAAGAAAAAACAAACGCACAAATATAGAGTGGGGGGAAAGTGGCTTGGCAGCAGCATTACTGAGAAGGATCTGGGAGTTGTGGTGGATCACAACCTCAACATGAGCCAACAATGCAACGCTGTTGCAAAAAATGCAAATACAATTTTAGGTTGCATTAGCAGAGGCACAGCATGCAAGTCACAGGAGGTGATAGTACTCTACTCGGCGCTGGTGAGGCCTCAGCTGGAGTACTGTGTCCAGTTTTGGTCACCAATGTATAGAAAGGATGTGGAGAAACTGGAAAGGATCCAGAGGCAAGTGACAAAGATGATCAAAGGGATGGAAT